CAGTCTGGGCGACAGAGTGAGACTCCAACTCAAAAAACAAAACAAAACAAAACAAAAAAAACTGACTTTAAATTAACAACAATAAAAAAACACAAAGTTGGCTCTTATATAATGATAGAGAGATCAATCCAACGAGAAGACATAACAATTTTAAATATATATGTGCTTAACACCAGAGCCCCCAGCTTTATAAAACAAATTATACTAGACCTAAAAAATGAGATAGACACCAATACAATAATAGTGGCGGACTTCAACACGCCATAGGCAGCAACAGACAGATCATCAAGGCTGAAAGTCAGCAAAGAAACATTGGCATTAGGACTCTAGAAGAAATGGAACTAACAGATATCTATGAAACATTCCATTCAAAAACTACAGAATATACATTTTTCTTCTCAGCACATGGAACATTCTCCATAGGCCATAAATCAAGTTTCAATAAATTTTTAAAAAATCAAAATCATATCAAGCACCATCTCAGACCACAGTGGAATAAAACTAGAAATTAACTCCAAGAAGAGCTCATGAAACCAAACAAAGACATGGTAGTTAAACAATTTGCTCCCAAATAATCCTTGGGTCAACAATGAAATCAAGATGAAAGTTTCAAGATTCCTTTAAATGAATGACAACAATGAAACAAGTTATCAAAACCACTGGGACACAGTCAGAGGAAAATGTCTAGCACTTAAGGCCTACACTAATAATACCGAACAACCTAACATCACACCTCAAGTAACTAGAAAAACACAAATAAACCAAATCCAAAGCTAGCAAAAGAAAAGAAATAACAAAGATCGGGCAGAACTAAATAAAATTGAAATTTTAAAAATACAAAAAAAATCACTGAAACAAAAAATTGGTTATTTAAAAAAAAAAAAACAAAATTGATAGACCTTTACCTAGATTAATTAAGAAACTAAGAGAGAAGACTCAAATTAGCTCAATCAGAAATGAAAAAGGAGACATTATACAATTGATATTATGGAAATTCAAAAGATCATTGAAGACTATTATGAACACCTATATGAAAACAAGCAAGACAATGTAGAGAAAATGGATAAATTCTTGGAAACATACAGCACCCCAACTTTGAATCAGGAAGACATAGAAACCTTAAACAGACCAATAATGAGTAGCAGGATTGAAACAATAATTAGAAGTCTCTCATTCAAAAAAAAAAAGTCCAGAACTTAATGGATTCACAGCTGAGTTCTACCAGACCTTCCAAGAACTGGTACCAATTTAACTGAAGCTCTTTCACAAAATTGAAGAGAAAGAAATCCGCCCTAACTCACTCTACAAGGCCAATATCACTCTGATATCAAAACCAGGAAAAGACACAACAAAAAATAGAAAACTACAGACCAATATCCTCCATGGACACAGATGGAAGACTCCTCAACAAAATATTAGAAAACCAAATTCAACAGCACATTAAAAAATAATACATCACAACCAAGTGGGTTTTACCCAGGGATCAAAAGTGCTTCAGCATATGCAAGTCAATAAATGTGATCCAACGCATAAGCAGAATTAAAAACAAAAATCATATGCTCATTTCAATAGATGCAGAAAAGGCATATTGATAAAATCCAGCACCCCTTCATGATTTAAAAAAAAAAAAAACCTCAGCAAAAAAGGCATAGAGGGAACATTCCTCAAAATAATAAAAGCTATGTATGACAAACCCATAGCCAATGTCATCCTGAACAAAGCTGAACACATTCCCCCTCTGAATTGGAACAAGGCAAAGGTGTCCACTTTCACCACTATTACTCACGACAGTACTGGAAACCCTAGCCAAAGCAATCAGGAAAGAAAAAGAAAAAAGGGTATCCAACTTGGAAAAGAAGAAATCAAACCATCTCTGTATGCCAACAATATGATCTTACACCTAGAGAACCCTAAAGACCCCTCCAAAAGACGCCTGGACTTGATACATGACTTCAGTAAAGTTTCAGGATACAAAACCAACACACACAAATCAGTAGCACTGCTATACACCAATAATGACCAAGCTGAGGATCAAATAAAGAATTCAATTCCATTTATCAGCCAAAAAACCTAAAATACCTAAGAATATATTTAACCAAGGAGGTGAAAGACCTCTAGAAGGAGAACTATAAGACTCTAGTGAGCCGGGCTCGGTGGCTCAGCCTGTAATCCCGCGCCTTTGGGAGGCTGAGATGAGTGGATTGCCTGAGCCCGCGGGTTCGCGACCGGCCTGGGCAGCAAGACCTCATCTCCACAATAAATCAAAAAATTAGCCGGGCATGGTAGCGCATGCCTGTAATTACGGCTACTCAGAAGGCTGAGGCGGAAGGATCACCAGAGCCCAGCAGGTCGAGGCTGTGGTGGCTGGGAGCGGCCACTGCACTCCAGTCTGGGTGACAGAGTGAGAATCCAACTCAAAAAAAAAAAAAAGACTCTAGTGAAAGAAATTGCAGAAGACATAAACAAATGAGGAAACATCCCATGCTCATGGACTAAAAGAATCAACATTATTAAAATGACCATATTACCCAAAGTAATCTACAGATTCAATGAAATCCCTATCAAACTACCAATGTCATTTTTTACAGAATTTGAAAAAAAAATCCTAAAATTCATATGGAGCCAAAGAAGAGCCAGAATAGCCAAAGCAATCCTAAGCAAAAAGAACAAAGCTGGAGGCATCATATTACCTGACTTCAAATTATACTACAAGTCTGTAGTAACCAAAAGATCATGGTACTGGTACAAAAGCAGACACATAGACCAATGGAATGGTATAGAAAATCTAGAAATAAACCCAAATACCTACAACCAACTGATTTTTGACAAGCAGACAAAAAAGTACACTGGAGAATGATAACCTATTTAGCAAATGGCTGTGGGAGAATTGGATAGCTACATGCAGAAGAATGAAACTTGATTCCTGTTTCTCCCCATATACAAAAATTAACTCAAGATGGAGAAAAGGCTTAAATATCAGGCCTGAATCCATGAAAATCCTATAATAAAACCTAGTAAAAGCTCTTGGGGACGTTGGCCTAGGCAAAGAATTTATGGCTAAAGCCCCAACAGCAAATGCAACTAAAACAAAAATAAATAAGGAGGACTGAATTAAACTAAAAAGCTTCTGCACAGGAAAAGGAATAATCAACAGAGCAAATAGGCAGTCTACAGAATGGAAGAAGATATACACAAACTATACATCTGACAAAGAACTAATATCCAGAATCTACAAAGAACTCAAACAAATCAGCAAGAAAAAAGCAAGTAACTCCATTAAAAAGTGGGCAAATGACTTAATAGACATCTCTCAAAAGAAGATATACAAATGGCCAACAAAAATGAAAAAAAAAATGCTCAACATCACTCATTATCAGGGAAATGCAAATTAAAATCACAATGAGATACCACCTTATACCAGTCAAAATGGCCATCATTAAAAAATCAAAAAACAATAAATGCAGATGCAGAGAAAAGGGAACACTTATACATTGTTGGGAGAAGTGTAAATTAGTACAGTCTTTCTGGAAATCAGTATGGAGATTATTCAAAGAACTAAAAGTAAATCTACCATTTGCTCCAGCAATCCCACTATTAGGAATCTACCCTAAGGCACAGAAGTCATTATATAAAAACGACACTTGTTCCCACATGCTCATTGCAACCCAATTCACAATTGCAAAGTGGAACAAATCCATCAACCAATCAGTGGATAATGAAAATGTGGTATATATACACTATGGGATACTAAACAGACATAGAAAAGAATGAAATTATGTCCTATGCAGCAACATGCAGCATCACCCTAAGTAAACTGACTCAGAAACAGAAAACCAAACACCTCGCGTCCTTAGTCATTCATGGGAGATAAACAGTCCAAGAGATGGAACTAATAGACACTGGGGACATGAGTATGTGGGGAAACTACTTATCGGGCCCAAAGTTCCCTATCTGAGGAACGGGCCACCTGATACTCAATCCCCAGCACTCCCTAGTATGTTCATGTAACAAATACACATGTGTATCCCCGAATCTAAAAGAATATAATAAAATAAAGGAAAGGAAGGTGCTTTGAGCAAGGAACAGGACCTGCTCGAGAAGACGTTGCAAGGGAAGGTGTCTCCAGAAAGGGAGCAAGTGTGGCATAGCCTGGGATAGAGGCCAGGCCGGAAGGGTTTAGGCAAGAAGTGAAGTTCCTGATTGATAGGGGCAGAATGGATTCCTAACACAGCCACCATCTTCCGTTAACTCTGTAGTTTTTCATATCCATTCTGCCTTATATGAGACATAAATATTTTAATAGCTATGATGAGACCCCTACAGACATTGTAGAACAGCAAACTTTTGTAGGAAGGAAGCCTTCTTCTTCTTGTTAAAAAAATAGCAAAGTTGACCCTGCCGAATATTTGTGCTGGGAGGTACAGCTTCATTGTTAACAGCCCAAAGAAAGGTCCCTGCAGCCTCAGGGAAGTCTTTCTGTGTTGAATCTATAATTCCACAGATAAGTTGCCTGCAAATTTCTAATTGCCTAAAATTCCCAGCAGAAACAATTAATGAAACTAACGGTGAATGATTTCACAAACACAGAGATGAGAGATCGAAACAGTGTGGCACTAACTCCTGTTAACTGACAGGGACCCAGATTTGTGGCCGCCTCTGATGTAACGTCACAGGAGGGAGGAGGGCTGGAGCTCGCCTGGAAAACGCCGAGAACAAAGTCACAAACAATAGTTCAACCTCCCTGGACTGCGCGCCAGGAGGCGTGCAGCTCGCCTTCTTCCTGTTTGCTGGCCGACACCAGCTCTCTCAGACAGGACTTGCAGTCAGTCTGAGGGTTGCCTTCATCCAGAATGCAGCCTTGTGCTGACTGAGAGGTAACGTTTCATCTGGACAGGACTCTGATTTCTTACACTAACGGCCTTAAACAAGATGGAGGATTTTAAATCTGATGAAACGGGGCGCTTAAGTTGTGATTATGTCAAGGGAATGCTTCAACCCACACCTACCTGTGATGTCTGGGATCAGATCTGGAATTTCCAAGCCAAGCCTGATGACCTGCTTATATCTACCTATCCTAAAGCAGGTGGGTGGAAGGACTTGGAGGGGAGGGGGAAGAAGAGAAAGATGGGAAGGTAAGTGGAAAGGATGAGTTAATCATAAAATGAAGTTGATCTGAGAGACTGTTTACAGGATGAGCTACTTGTGGAAACTGAAACTACACATGAAAACATTCTGAAATGACCTTCAAATTTTAAGAACTTAAAATTTCTTCCCATGATGTACCTTTTTTTTTTTTTTTAACTTTCCCAGGAAAGGGTGAAACAGCCAAGAGTGGTAGACTTGTTTCGTTATTCATTCCCAATCTAAGCTCTCCCTGCAGATCTTATAAAAAGCTGCTTTGGGTGTGCGAGCTAGAAAGGGGGTTCTGAGGCCAACTGGGGAAGGCAACAGGGGAGCTTTTGTTCTGCGATGCTGATTTCATCTCAGCAGCCCTCAGGAGCCTCCCGACTCAAGGTCTAAGAACCTTTCTTCTGATTTCCACCTTCTTTGGTGGTAAGTTGTGAACCTACGTCCTTATCTCAATAATCAGCTTAACAAAGTTGTCTGTAGAAGTAAGACTAACTTGAGCCCCTGATAAAAATTTTGGGATGAGCAGGAGGAAATAGTTCTCTATACACACTTGTGCATATCTACGTATCTTCTAAGAACACAGTGTTTCATTCGCATCCAGCTTGCATATACATTTGCTTTTTACAAAATCAAGCTCGCAGTCAGTAACTCATGTTAGACACACACACACTCAAAAACTCTAAACCTCAGCATTTCTGAGACTGCGTTCCAAACGCTCTCAAAGTCTTTATCTCTCAAGATCCTAACAGAAGACTCTACAAGCAGATTAAGGCCTTAGTCCCTTCTTTGTCCATCAGTTTCATGTTGGTCCTAATTCTCCAATCTTACTTATCAATAGTAAAATCAGGCTCACAGTTTCCTAAGTGTAAATTTCTAAGAGTAACCACTGGTGAGGATCCCATCTTACTGTCTTAATTTCATTCTCAACGCAACTTGATTATCAGTTCAGATAATAATCATTTCTCAAGCCAGGAATGGTGGCTCATGCCTGTAACTCCAGCAATTAGGGAGGCCAAGGCAAGAGAATTGCTTGAGCCCAGGAGTTGGAGACCAGCCTGGGCAACAGAGCGAGACCTTGTCTCTGCAAAAAATCCTCATGCCTGTCATCTCAGCACTTTGGGAGGCCAAGGCAGAAGAACTGCTTGAGCCCAGGAGTTGGAGACCAGCCTGGGCAACAGAGCGAGAGCATGTCTGCAAAAAATCCAGGAATTAGCCAGGCATGGCAATAAGTGCCTGTAGTTCCAGCTACTCGGAAGACTAAGGCAGAAGGAACCCCTGAGTCCAGGAGGTCGAGGCTGCAGTGAGCTGTGATCCTGCCACAGCACACCAGCCTGGGTGACAGAGTGAGACCCCTATTCAAAATCATCATCATCTTTTACCTACATGCTAAATGCAAGCATTAAGATTTAGTTCATTGAGATTTTTCATGGCATTTTTGTTTTTCTGCAATCCAAAAAATACACTCAAAAAAATAGAATGTTTGCCATCTAAAGTAATATTTAGTCATAACTAAGACCTTGTATATCAATGAAAGCTATTTTTATCAGAGAGAAGAAGCAAGCATAGATGCCAAAAATAATTTGCCCTATAGTTCTAAAAGAATAATACTCTGAATGAACCAAGAAAAAAATATATCAGAGAATCATTGCCCTCTAGAGAATGAATGGCGAAGTCATTCTACTCGTCCCTGAATCTCTAGTGACACTTGAGCCTGCCCTCATGTTGGCCCGTGGCTATAAATTCAGAGTATAACACATAATACTAGTATGGGTTGCTCTAACATTATTTTCATAGATACCTAAAGAAATCTTGGTCTTTTGTCCTGTAATGAAAGTTGGTGCCAAAAAATATAGGAGACTTGTATCTCTCTGGTTATCAGTTAAAAATAATTATTTAGATATATTCACACAATTTATATATGTATACACACACACACACATATATATGTACAGAAGACCAACTCATATACAATATAGAATGTCATTTTTAAATGCTTTCTTAGCCGGGCTTGGTGACTCAGCCTGTAATCCCGCTCCTTTGGGAGGCTGAGGTAAGTGGATTGCCTGAGCCCACGGGTTCGAGACCCGCCTGGGCAGCAAGACCTCATCTCTACAATAAATCAAAAAATCAGCCGGGCGTGGTAGTGCATGCCTGTAATTCCGGCTACTTGGAAGGCTGAGGTGGAAGGATCGCCGGAGCCCAGCGGCTCGAGGCTGCGGTGGTCGGGAGTGACCGCTGCACTCCACTCTGGGTGACAGAGTGAGACTCCAACTCAAAAAAAAAAAAATTAAATGCTTTCTTATCTATGCCCTTTAAAAGCACTGAATTGAGCATATAAGAAAAGGAGTCTATAACAAGAGTTGCTGCCAGATAATACAGGAAAGATCATCCTGGATCAGGATTCAGGAAGCCATCCTAGCCAGGAGTGCTGATTCATGCCTATAATCCCAGTGCTTTGAGAGGTTAAGGCAGGAGGATCATGTGAGGCCAAGAGTTGGAGACCAGCCTGGGTCATGCAATGAAACCCTGTCTCCGCAAAAAAAAAAAAAAAAAAATTAAAAACGTAGTCAGTCATGGTGGCATGGGCCTAACGTCTTAGCTACTTGAGAGGCTGAAGAGAGAGGATCACTTGAGGCTAGGAGTTCAGGGTTACAGTGAGCTGTTATCATACCACTGCCTTCCAGCCTGGGTGACAGAGCAAGACCTCGTCTCTTAAAAAAAAAAAGGGGGGGGGAAAGAAAATCAAGCCATCCTAACTTGACATAATGCCCAACCTGGATTTTGCCAGAACATCTGGTGCCATAGGACTTCATCAAAGGGGAAAGAACCAGCCAGTAGCACAATACCATGGTATCAGTCAGGATCAGTGCAGGACACAGACGAACCAAAGCTGGGGAACAGAGGCCCTTCTACCTGTGGCCGTGATGACGGTAGTGGTCAGCTCCATGGGATTAGGGCAGTGGGCTGTGAAATGTGGAACGGCCTCTGCAGAATTTCTTTCTGTTGGAACTACCCCTGAAAGGATGACTTCTACCTCCCTTCCGCCTTCCAAATCTCAAGCGAATGCGTCTCATTAGAACAATCTAAATACCATCCAGGATCTTAGTGGCAAAGGATTCTTGAGAAAGCCCCTGAGATACAGGGAAAACAGAGAAAAGAGTGAACATGGATACTCAGTGCTAAAGATCAATATAAAGCCCAGGCACTAATCATTCATTCATTTAGCCAACAAATGCTGAGTATCGTCCACGTTATGTGCTTGAGAAAAACAGTCTGAAAATCACAGTCTGATAAGAAAGACCCTTTATTCCACTTTCCTTAGAGAATGCAGCCAAATCAATCAGACAACAATCCAAATTAATGGTTGTTACAGAAAAAAAAGTGTATCACTCTAATGTTCACTCCAAATTGGAGTATTTGTATTAAAATTCGTATTGTAACTTAAGATATAAGTAAGGAACCATATATTCTTAATCCTATTATAAACCTAGCTTTAAAGCTTACATAGATGTTCTGACAAGTATTTGATCCTAATTTAAGGAGTGTAGCACACTAAATGTCTTTGCGTCTTCATTTTCTGTGTGGAACAAGGAACTACATGGACTCAGGAGATAGTGGACTTAATCCAAAATGAAGGCGATGTTGAGAAAAGTAAACGAGCACCTATTCATGAACGATTTCCTTTCATCGAATGGATAGTCCCATCCGTAGGATCTGGTGAGTATGGAATAGCCACACTTGACTATAGTCCTAGACACACATTTGGAATTTTTACTATCACATTGCACCTCTCAGAATTCTAGTCATTCAATTATTGATGGGTTTTGTGGATTTATCTTCTTTAACTATAGCTAGTCATTGCTATACTACAGGCATTTTCTAATGAAGTTACTGTTAATACAAAAATATGTTAAATTTTGATTCTCTAATTAGAAATTATTTTTACTTCACAAAGACGCACCCAAAGAAAATAATCATGATGGAACAGTTTGAGTTTTTTAGGTTCTTATTTATTTGCTTGATGGTTATGGTTAGAAATAGGCAAGATATAGTCTTTCAAATAGGATCTACAGATAGTTTCAGTGCTCTTGCAGGTGCCTTGAACTGTTCCTAAAATAGTCATAATGAAAGCAGCAAGATTTTGAAGCAAATAGAGAAAAACAGAAAAATTACTGAAAACTAACCTTGCAGGTTTGGAACAAGCTCAGGCAATGCCCTCACCACGGACCCTGAAAACACATCTTCCCTTCCACTTGCTGCCGCCATCTTTCCTGGAGAAAAACTGTAAGGTAAAAAGCAAAAGGGATTCAGAGTTGTACTCCTTAGAACAATCTTGAGTAGTCTTCAACCAATTTCCTCTTAAAACACTTCCCTTGTTGGAAAATAAATAAGTCCACCTCTTCACAATAATCAATATGCAAATTGATTTGAATCCTTTACATCTCCCATAAAAGTCAGGAGCACAGTAATGCAGCATCAGAAAAATCCATCTGCGTGAAATGTATCCACCCTGGCAGTAGCGGGAAACTGCCAGGAGGGGAGCAGGGAGGTGGGATTGGCAGTAGTGGGAATCTGCCTGGGGAAGGAGGGACACACCTCATCAACAAGGGTACCTGCATCATGGGCATTTGTATACCTAACCCTGAATTGTATCCTACATCTTTAAAATTAAAAACATTAAAAGAAAAAAAAGTGCAACTCTGAAAAAAAGGGAAATGTATCCACCTCACATGACTTACTAGGACAATGACTATACATAGGTCTATCCTGTTTTTGTTTCTTCCCTTCCATCATTCCCAGATAATCTATGTGGCAAGAAATCCCAAGGACAATATGGTGTCCTATTACCATTTCCAAAGAATGAATAAAGCACTTCCTGCTCCAGGAACGTGGGAAGAGTATTTTGAGACTTTCCTGGCAGGGAAAGGTGAGAGAAATCCGTTTTTTCCCCTTCGTTTTGCAAAATCCTCAAACAGCATACAAGGCAAGAATCATTTCTTTAGACCATCGGGGCTCTGCCTTCATTATAATGGGACACTCTCCCTCTCTTCAGGAATTCTCCTTTCAGTGGAATATTTGTTGCTTGGACCTCTGTGACATGTTGTCCTGCTTTTCGTCCTGTCTTCCAGTGTGCTGGGGGTCCTGGCATGACCATGTGAAAGGATGGTGGGAAGTCAGAGACCAATACCCTATTCTCTACCTCTTCTATGAGGACATGAAGAAGGTGAGCATGGTGCCATCGAATGTGTACCTGTTAGACTACAAATATTTAAGCGGGTCAAGGGCTGTGGTGGCCGGAAGCGGCCACTGCACTCCAGTCTGGGCGACAGAGTGAGACTCCAACTCAAAAAAATATATATATATATTTAAGTCATAAAGTATTGACCCATCAGGGATTCAAACTGAAGCAGAGAACAGAAAATTGCTGCACTTCTTGGCTATCGCTGTCATTTGTCAAAGTGCTCAGGGCAGATCATGGGTTTTTGTATCACGTAACCTCATTTGCAACTTCCTGATGCTCCGGGCTTTGACGTACCTTTTCCTTAGAGGCAGATGATGTAAAATACAGATGATGTATTTTTTTCCTCTTGCATATCTATTTTAATATTTAGTTTAGAAAGGCAAAAAAAATTCCAGACATTTTATTTTGTTTTGTTTTTAATTTTGTTTTTATTTTTGGTTTTGCTTTTTTTTTGAGTTGGAGTCTCACTCTGTTGCCCAGGCTGGCGCGCAGTGGCACACTCAGAGCCACTGCAGCCTCCAGCTGCTGGGCTCAGGCAATCCTTCCACCTCAGCCTTCCAAGTAGCTGGAATCACAGGTGGGCGCCACCACGCCCAGCTAATTTTTGGATTTATTGTAGAGACAAGGCCTTGCCAGGTTGTCCAGGCTGGTCTAGAACCCCTGGACTCAGGCAATCCTCTAGCCTCTGCTCCCAAAGTGCTGGGGTTACAAGTGTGAGCCACTGCACCCAGCTATTTTGTTTTTCATGAACACTGAGGAACATCATAGCTTTAAGTTTAAGAAATGGTGTAATAGAAAAGACTAATGATTTAGAATTAAAATTCTTGTATTAAAGTTCTGCTTTGACCACGTAACTACTGTCAATTATTCTTGGTAAAGACACTTAATATCTTGAGGACTAAATGAGATAATGTTTGTGGAAGTTTGTTGTAAATGACAGTCCACTCAGCTACTTTCTGTGACTCCACTAAATACAGAGATCTATGCGACAGTCTCTGTTCTTGAATTTGTCGTTGAAAGGCTTGGTACTCAACAGATGCTTCACAGACTAGCAGCATGGACACTTTGTCATAGGCCTGCTAAGTCTGGAGCTTGATAAAAGTCTCAGGGGAATTCGAGCACACATCACAGTTAGATGCACTTCTCCAAGTTCAGTCACTGCTGGAACTTATCTGGTTACTTCTACAAAAATTCCAAAGGAGTGGGAAAAAAAGATTCATTTTCATTATTTTTTATTTTTTTGAGTTGGAGTCTCACTCTGTTGCCCAGACTGGAGTGCAGCGGCCGCTCCCGGCCACCGCAGCGTCGACCTGCTGGGCTCCGGCGATCCTTCCGCCTCAGCCTTCCAAGTAGCCAGAATTACAGGCATGCACTACCACGCCCGGCTGATTTTTTTGTTGTTGTTTATTGTAGAGATGAGGTCTCGCTGCCCAGGCGGGTCTCGAACCCGCGGGCTCAGGCAATCCACTCACCTCAGCCTCCCAAAGGCGCGGGATGACAGGCTGAGCCACGGAGCCCGGCTCATTTTCATATTTTTTTAAGCAGATAACTTACTACATTTCTAGACTTCTCAGAACCATGATTAAAGAGTCGTCAGAGCAACCTACAAGGTTATCAGTATAAAGTTCCCTCCTTTGTGTTCACTTTGTTTTTACTTGGTACAAAAGTGTTGTATCACGGGTAATTTTCATCTACAATGTGTGTAATAGCAGAGTCAGAGAGAGGACATGCTCCTGGCAATGGGGTCCTTTTGTTGAGGTAGGTTCTACTGTATTACAAGGGCCAGGAAGAAACTCACCTGAAATAGGTAGGCTAACCTCAGAGTCCCTAAAGTTTTTTAAAAGATGATTACTATGATTGCATTCTGGAATGTCCTCAATTTTATGCAGGGAGGAGAGCAAAAAAACAATGCTTTTTTGTTTTTTTGGTTTTTTTCTTTTGAGTTGGAGTCTCACTCCATCACCCAGACTGGAGTGCAGTGGCCACTCCCGGCCACCGCAGCCTCGACCTGCTGGGCTCCGGCAATCCTTCCACCTCAGCCTTACAAGTAGCGAGAACTACAGGCGCGCGCTACCATGCCCTGCTAGTTTTTTATTTATTTATTGTAGAGATGAGGTCTCGCCAAGTTGCCCTGGCGGGTCTTAAACACGCGGGCTCGGGCAATCTACTCGCCTCGGCCTCCCAAAGTGCTGGGATGACAGGCTGAGCCACCGAACCCAGCCAAAACAATGTATTTATTAAAAATTGTGTATTTATTCTTACATAGTTAAACTTCAGTCACCTTCCAAGTACTCTCCGTTTGATGCAATACACCTACCAGGATGATTTTTCTCCTGCTCAGAACAGTTTTGAGTGCATCAATATTGATGCCCTTCAGTGCTTCTGCCATTTTTTGGTTTCACCCCTTCCACATGGGCAAAATGTTTCCCTCTGAGGACTCTTTTTATCTGGGGAAACCAAAAAAACATCGCGCAGGGCAAGGTCGAGTGAATAGGGAGATGGGACTTGGGGGCTATGCCATTTTCAGTCCAAAACTACTGTACACTCAACACAGTGTGGGCAGGTACGTTGTCATGGTGGGAGACCCAGTCACCTGTTCAACTCGGGACGTTTCTTCCACAAATCGTGACACGGCCTTCTCAAAACTTCCAGGTAAAGACTTTGGTTGATGATTTGATCCGGAGGAATGAATTTTTACAAGGGACCTACCCTCCAAAAAGATAATTCCAGGTTTTTTGAGGGTCCTCGTAGTTCACACAAAGCTCATAATTCTCAGCACTCTTTCTGACTCCTAGTCTGTGTGAGGCCAATTAAATTAAGCCCTTTCAATACTCAAGTTTTTAAAGCAGAAGCCACTGAAGACACAGTGGTCCGTGTACACTGTTCTACTTTCCCTCCCCACCCGTCCCCTTCTAGACATAAGGGATTCTAAAAGCCACAGTTGTTTCACAGAGTTGTGTGTCCCTCTGATGAAGAACTGTGGCTATTATATTGGAACTGAGCTCCTCTCAGTTCCACTTGACCACCCAGTGGCACCTGACTGTGCTGGGCACCAGAGTTTCCTGCTCTGAGTGCTTCTTGGGACATGAAAGAAATCGTCTCTTCTCTTCCTGACACCACTGCAATGGTCTGGGAATCTATCTGTTGATGTCAGAATAGGATATAGCTTCTTGGGGACAGGTCTTAAATCTTCTGCCTCTTTCTGCAAAGTCTTTGCTCATATCATCAGTTTGTGGACTCTCCCTGTTAGACATTTAGCTGACCAAGATCCTTCCCAAAACTGACTTCAGCAGGACTTGCAGACATAACCCTGAGGCATTCCCTTAGAAAAGCATTCACTAGGCACTGCTATATAATTGGTGAATGTTTCATTAACCCTACCCAGTTGATGCTTACATGTTTTTTGTTTGTATGTTTGTTTGTTTTGAGTCAGGGTCTCACTTCGTTGTCCAGGCTGGAGTGTAGTGGCATGATTGTGGCTCACTGCAGCCTCAAACTCCTTGGCAGAAGGTATCCACCCTTCTCAGCCTCCCTCATAGCTGGCCACCAAGCCCAGCAAATTTTTTATTTTTTTATTTTTTTGAGTCAGTTTCTCACTCTATCACCAAGGCAGGAGTGCAGGAGCATGATCATGGCTCACCACAACCATGACCCAAGCTATGACAATCCTTCCACTTCAGCCTGGATTACAGGCAGGCACAACCATGCCGGGCTAATTTTTTTATATGTTGCCTAGGCTGGTCTCGAACTCCTGGGCTCAAGCAATCCTCTTGCCTCAGCCTCCCAAAGTGCTGGGATTATAGGTGTGAACAATCACGTCTGGCCTAATTTTCTTTCTATTTTTTTGTAGAGATGAGGTCTATGTTGCCTAGACTGATCTTGAACTCCTGGGCTCAAGCAATCCTCCCACCTCTGGCTGTAATCCCAAAATACTGGAATGCTGGCCCATATTTAAAGGCCAGTATCTTAAAAGGAAAAAATGCTTAGCAATTTCAGTTTTAAAAGGAAAACAATCTGGGTCACCACATTAAAATTAGTCATTTCTGGAAAGATGAACATTTGAAGATAAGATTTTTTTTTTAATTTTTAGGCATGATGTGTTACTGATTACTGTCATTAATCCATTATAATGTTCTTTTTAAACTAATTATATTAAATCTTCACTTTTCTTTTGACTCTGATCATAGAACCCAAAGCAAGAAATTCAGAAGCTGGCAGAATTTATTGGAAAGGAGCTAGATGACCAAGTTCTCGATAAAATTGTCCATCACACTTCATTTGATGTTATGAAGCAGAATCCCATGACAAACTATTCATCGGTTCCAATTGAAGTCATGGACCACTCCATTTCTCCATTCATGAGAAAAGGTTTTTGTATTTTCTTTCATTCAGAATCTTAAAAGCATTGTCAAATATTTCAAAGCATTTGGGAAGTTTTCGTTTTCACATGATGGAAAAATAATGTATTTAATGAATAATTTGGGGGAAAAAGTATTTAAGAAACCACTGATGAAATGAAAAACAACGCTCATTATCCATTAAGAGACAGTAAGATTTAGCATCTAAATCCAATCATTTATCCCCACTTGCTCTCTAGAGTTTGTGCTGATAAGGTGAAAATACACAGAATTAAGTGAGACAGGGCTGAGATTCCATTTTACAGAAGGCTCTATGCTATCAGTTATATTTATTCCTTTAAAGATACTTAATGAGGGGCTTTTGTGTGCCTGGCCCTATTCTAGGCACTGTTTGCAGCTGTGAACAAAACACAACAAATCTTTCCCTCATGAAATTATATTCTAGTGAGTGATAAGCAAAATAAACAAGAAGCATGCATAGGATGATAGATGCTGGTAAGAAAAATAAAACTGGGAAAGGTTGTAGGGATTACAATTGGAGAAGTTGGGGGATCTTTTTTCTCTCTCAAAACCTCCCATAAACAGACCCTTCTTGACTATGAGCTACATCATGGGAGCTTTAGGCATGAGCAATCCCCATGCTTGGATACACGAGAAGCACCAGAGAAAGACAAGAAAGCCCCTCAGGCCTGCTGTTTTACCATGGTGGCCTCATCTCCCCACTAAAGTGGCTGGATGTGTAATAGGCTCTCTGTGTCTCACAATTCAGAGAGGAAAGTCTCCTCCTCGGGATAAAAAAGGGACAGGACAGCAATACAGTGTTTTGTCCGATGCTGCCTTTCCTAAAAGGTGGAGTAGAAATCATCACCCAGCAGCAAGAGACTAGAGAAATATGAACTCCCACAGCTACGTACTAACTCGCACGTGACTATGTTTCAGGGGCAGTGGGAGATTGGAAGAAACACTTCACCGTGGCTCAGAATGAGAGATTTGATGAAGACTACAAGAAGAAGATGGGTGATACTAGTCTAACTTTCCACTTCCAGTTCTAGTGAGGAGGAAAGAGAACTAAAAGTATTTTAGTGTATTACTCAGCAGGGTGATAATAAAAGTTTAATACTGAGACCAAATGATATTAGATTCAGATCCTCAGCCTAGTTTTTTATTGTGTTTGCTCTTGTTGACGCTATAAATAAATGTAAATGTAATAAATTAAAAACAAATAAATATGAATAAGGTCAAAAGAGGTGTGACAAAGCTAGCAGAGGCTGGGGCGAGGTGAAGAGCGAGAGCAGGGTGGCAACTTGGAGAGGAAGCAGCTCAGTAAGTTACCGGTTATAATTTTGGTGTCATTGCCAATGATTAGATCCACATTTTCTAATTATGCACTTGTTAACATATTAAAATGCTTCCGTCCTCACATAAGAAAACAATGACATTTTCAGGTTAAGTTTTAATTCAAGCTAATTTTTAAATGTGTCACCAAAATGTACAAATGGTGACCATTTCTCTCAGCTTTCTTGGTAGTCACGTGGTCGTCAAGTGACTCGGTTTCCACTTGGAATCCACCAGTCCACTTCAGATTCTAGTGTCATACATCTGTCTCCATCTCTCAGCAGCCTCTATATTTAGCTGGACTCACTCGCTCACCCCCAGCTAACGCTACAATCTTCTCCCGGAGTCCTCTCCGTCGACCCACCTTTCCTAAAACCTCCACAGTCTGTTCTAATCCACCAGCGATATCTGTCGATTCTAATCTAGGAAGCCTCTTCCAGGATTTCCACGTAACACTCATTGTTTTCTATTTCTACAGTCACTCACTGGATTCAGAAACATGTTTCTCCTTGTCTAGATTAGTGCAATGGCTCTCTAACTCATTTCTCCGTTCTTCAGGCATCAGGCAAGATTATTTTCCTAAAACAAAACTCTGATCATATTGTTCCTCAGCCTCAAATCCTTCAATGACTGAATTTTCACTGCCTGAAAGATAAATCCCAAGGTGCTAGCCATTAATTCAAAGGCAGCTATGATCCTACAACTCCAGCCTTCCTTTCAACTTGATTTCATCTCCCAAAGCACCTCCCTATTGCAGCAGAATAGCCTGCTCACTGGGCCCCAATCCACCTTCCAAGTTTCTCCCCCGCCCCAGTTTGATGTCCACCATGCCTCCTCCCGAAAGGTTGATGTGGTGCTTTCTGTGGCTGTGTGCCAGTCCTTACCCATGACGCCACCACTCTCGAGGACTTCAAAGTTCACGACCTGCCCTGCTGCCTTGGATAGACAACACAGGAAAAGTGGGCTAGCTCAGCCCAGGCCTCTTGAATTTTTAACCTCACGCACAGGCTGCTACGTCTTATTTTCCTGCAAACCCCCTCCATACACCCCGCAAGTAAAACCAGTGCTTTGGTTACTTGGCCCCAGCCTCAACTAGATCAACTCAGAATGGCCTTCACTGGGCCTATCCCCTCAAGTCTTTTGAAACTAGTGATTAGCATATTATATTCTAGATGTAGTCAATAGTATGTCTATCTCAATAGATAATTACAATAATGCATTTAGACTTTGGAGTTCTTCTGATACATTGAGTTGTAAATACAGGGTGCACATTTGATGTTTTGACAACCTGCACAATCACCTTTGACCCCTGTAGAGGAAGTCTGGACTTGAACCAAGAGAATGTTTAAGAAAATCAAAACTGCAAAGTCCATAATTTTGTCCTTCTTTATGGCTGTGTAATGTGGCCCATTGTGTATATGTACCACATTTTTTTGAATCCGGTCTACTTTTGACGGACAGCATGGTTGGTTCCATGTTTTTGCTATTGTGAAGACTGCTGCAATAAAATCATGGACTTCGCAGCAACCTGGATGGATTTAGAGTCTGTAATAGTCAGCGATCTATCAGAAACAAAAAACTGAGTACCACATATTCCCACTCATTAGTGGACCCTCAACATTAATCATGACACCATAAGAAAGGCAATGGCGGTAGCAGGACCCTGCCAGGAGACGAGGGGGGAGGCACATAACATCAATAAGGGAAACTAATTTCAAACCAGGGAAAGTGGGGTCCAAAGGGAGGCCCAAACTTTACCTGTACAATGATCACTTATCTACCTAACCTTGAATTGTACCCCACATCTTTAAAATAAAATAAATAAGAAAATCAAAGTTCATAGGTAGAGATGTAAGAAGTAAACTACTGGAATAAAATATCAGTATTATGATTCCATGTGAAACACTTAAAATAACTCATATTCTTTAGCAGTGTTTTTTGTTTGTTTTTTTGAGTTGGAGTCTCACTCTGTCACCCAGACCAGAGTGCAGTGGCTGCTCCCAGCCACCGCAGCCTCGACGGGCTGGGCTCCGGCGATCCTTCCACCTCAACCTTCCGAGTAGCTGGAACTACAGGCACGCGCTACCACGCCCGGCTGATTTTTTGGTTTATTGTAGAGATGAGGTCTCTCCAAGTTGCCCAGGTGGGTCTCAAACCTGCGGGCTCAGGCAATCCACTCACCTCGGCCTCTCAAAGCGCTGGGATTACAGGCTGAGCCACCAAGCCCAGCTTCTTTAGCAGTGTTAAGAGGAGATTTGGTAGGACTAAAAGGCCTTGTGAGGTCACCTGGCTCTTGTCTACTGGTGAATGACCAGTGAGAACATAATCTGAAAAATATATGCATGTCATGATTTCAAACTTAAATCCAGTGTTAGAGAAATAAAGACTAACCCCAGGATTAGAAATGCCATAATGAAACAGAAAATTAGAAAGTAGGTAGTTCCTGTATCACCTAACTTGAAGTGCTAACAGCAGCATGCTTTGAATACCAGGTAAGGTGCCACCAAGAACGAATGTGGCTTGTTACACCAGAGAGACTACAGTATTGGAGACAAATGCCAGAGAGAGAAAGAGATTGCGAGCTCCTGATTAAGAGGAAAAAAAATGTAGGGGGAGCAGATCCCTTTTTTTTTTTTTGTGAGTTGGAGTCTCATTCCATCGCCCAGGCTGGAGTGCAGTGGCACACTCACGGCCACCCCAGCATCCACCTGCTGGGCCCAGGCAATCCTTCCGCCTCAGCCTTCCAAGTAGCCAGAACTACAGGCACGTGCTACCACGCCTGGCTAATTTTTTAATTTATTGTAGAGATGAGGAGGTCTCTCCAAGTTGCCCAGATTGTTCTCAAACCCATGGGCTTGAGCAATCCGCTCACCTTGACCTCCCAAAGTGCTGGGATTATGGGCTTGAGCCACTATGCCCCGTACACATCTCTTTAACTGGGAAAGTACAATCTGTAAATTCTGGGAGAGGTGACAGCTTTTTCAAATGCCCAAATTGCAAAGATCACAAGGTATACAAACATTGGGAAACATAGCCCCAATCAAAGAAACAAAATAAATATGTAGAAACCAATCCTACAGAAATAGAGATAGGCTGGGCACGGTGGCTCAAGCCTGTAATCCCAGTACTTTGGGGGGCCGAGGAGAGAGGATTGCCTGAGCCCGCGGGTTCGAGACCGGCCTGGGCAACATGGTGAGACCTCGTCTCTACAATAAATCAAAAAATTAGCCAGGGGTGATAGTGCACGCCTGTAGTTCTGGCTACTTGGAAGGCTGAGGCAGAAGGATCGCCGGAGCCCAGCAGGTTGATGCTGGGGTGGCCGTGAGTGTGCCACTTGCATTCTAGCCTGGGCAACAGAGTGAGACTCCAACTCAAAAAAGAAAGGAAAAAAATAGAGATACATTAATTTCCTAAAAGAGAATTCAAAATAGCCATCTTAAAGATGTACAATGAGCTAAAACAGAAAGTCAATTAAATGAAATCAAGAAAATTATGCATGAAAAAAATAAGAATATCAACAAAGAGATAAAAAACTATTACTAAGAACCAAACAGAAATTTTTGAGGAAGAATACAATAATCAAATTTTAAAATTCACTTAGAGGGTTTCAAAAGCAGACTTCATCAGACAGAAGAAAGAATAAGTGTAATATATATAAAACGTGCGTGTGTAAAATGATGTTTTTGTTTTGTTTTGTTTTGTTTGAGTTGAAGTCTCACTCCGTTGCCCAGAGAGGAGTGCAGTGACACTCCACGTCAGCCTCGACCTGCTGGGCTCCGGCAATCCTTCCGCCTCAGCCTTCTGAGTGGCCGGAACTACAGGTGCGCTAATTTTTGATTTATTGTAGAGATGAGGTCTCACCAAGTTGCCCAGGCGGGTCTCGAACCCGCGGGCTCAGGCCATCCACTGGCTTCAGCCTCCCAAAGTGCTGGGATTACAGGCTGAGCCACCAAGCCCAGCCTAAAATGATGTTTTGACATGTTAATGAACCTTCTTGACCCGGAGGAGACTGCCTCCCTGGGGGCTAGCCAATTCTTAGAAATAACAAAGACTCAGCCAGGAAAGTGCCTCTGACATGCAAACTAACAAATGGAAAGTTATACCTCCTCTATCTGGCATATATATATTACCCAAGGAGGTAATATTTCTTTTTCTCTGGCTTAATCATCCATGGCCAAGTACCAAATAACTAGGGACCACCCTATTGCTTAGGTATATCCAAAATTATATAAACTAGCCAGATGTAAGTTGTTTATTCCGTCCTGCCTCGCATTTCTCATGCAAACCCCAGCAAAGGCTCTGACTTAAACCTTTTGCTTACTTCTGTTTTCGGTCTCCTGACCACCCACATTGCGCTGTGTGGCGTGCTGTGTCTCCTCTCCTAGGAGCTGTGACTATAATAAGCCTTGTTTTCCTGAGCCTCTCCTGTGTCTGTTCTTGTGTCCAACCTGACTGACCATCACAAAAAAGAGTGCAAGACAATCAATGAGCTTGAAGATAAGTCATTTGAAATTATTGAGTCAGAGAAGCAAAAAGAAAAAAATGAAGAAAATTGAAGACAGCCTAAGGGACTTACCGAGCTCCATTAAGAGGAACAAACAAGGACTATGGAGTTCCCGGCAGAGAGGCTAGAAAGGGGAAGAGAGACAACTTAAAGAAATAAGAAGCCGGGCTCGGTGGCTCAGCCTGTAATCCCGCGCCTTTGGGAGGCTGAGGTGAGTGGATGGCCTGAGCCCGCGGGTTCGAGACCCACCTGGGCAACTTGGCGAGACCTCATCTCTACAATAAAGCAAAAATCAGTTC